TATTTTTAAAATAAAATTTTAAAAATAAATCGTAAAAAAGGGGCTAATTTTATTTGGAATGAATCTAAATTTCGAAATATGAAAGGAAGAATCAAATAATTTAATAAAAAAGAGATATTAATAAATATAGATCAAACTTAATTAACATTGAGGAGCTAAAATTTTGAGAGCTAATTTCAAATTAAATTAACATTGAGAGCTAATTTTTTAAAAACGACTTGTACGATTTTTACAATCTTGGCAGTTTGGAATAATTTAAGTCATAGAATCGAAATATGAAAAAAAAAAAAAAAATGTCACGCCATTTCAGAAAAAGTTCGATTTTGTGTCAAAATACTTATGTTAGAATAATGCTATATACGTATTCTAAGTCGCGCATTCGAGACAAGAAAAACGCAAGTTGAATTTCGTCAATCGGCCCAGTAGAACGGGAGATATAAAACTGTCCTATTTTGTTTTCGCAATGTGCAAGTGGGTAGAAGTCAATCATTGCTGTAAGTGCACTTTATAAATAATTTTTATGAATGGTATTCTGACACTTCGAAGATTAGTGACAAAATAGATTCTGAATTTTAATTTTATAATCAGTTTGTTATTGACTCAAAAGCAAATATAATGGTAACCGAGTATTTATAATGTTGCAAGGTATTCGTTTTAGAGGATTTCATGTGCATTACTGATTTGTTCATTTTGGTTTCGTTTCAATGAATGCCAAAAAAAGGAATATTTTGAGGCTGGATAGTAAAATAATTGCAGGTTATTTTATACACATAATTTTAATATATGAAAATATTAGGCGTGGCGTATTTAATTATGGCAAAGCACACTAGGGTTATCTGCCTAAGGGAAGGGATGCCTTCGTGGAGGACTTTCTAAGGGAAACTGGCTCGTATACACATTACACATGGGGAAAACCACGAAAACGCTCATGCAGCCAGCCCGTTCGCGGGATTCGAACCTCGGACCGAACTACCAGTGTTCAGCGACTTTGCCGCTGAAAATATTAGGAAAAAAGAAATAGTAAAATTAATGTTATGACCTTTTGAAAATTTTAAGATTTTTCGAAACGAAAAAAATATGCCAGGTATTTGAAATTTAGATAAAAAATGGCGATTTGGCATACCTGATTATTACTTATTAGAAGCTTTATATATATAAATTCCTCTTTTTTATGCTCGGAAATGGAAGTCTCTTTAAAACTTAAAAACAACTCTTTTTATTATCTGGAGAATGTGTTTTACTATAGTTCAGTTTTCTTCAGATATTGTTTATCTTCAGATATTGATATTTTGTAAGTTTTCACACCAAGTTTTAATATTACTTTGTGATTCGATTATTTGATATGTACTAACAGTACCCATTTTTCCATGATAATTTATTAATTTGATGAAAAATCTTATTCTGTAAATTTTATGAAAACATTAAAGAATTATGAAATACGGGAGAATGTTACCAGAAAATGAAATCAAGATATAAAATCTTACAGTTCCATATTTCTGTGAATATTAAGAGAGATCGTAAAGAGAGATGATTTGCTGTCCAATCTTAAGTTCTAAAATGTAATGAAATAAATTCAGACCGAGGTTTAAATTTAACCTTTCCATTTACTCGTCAGCATAAGCATGTAAACAATAGCAGAAAATCAAATTCCTTCAGTTTACGAGAAATTCAGAATAGATGCTGAAGTAAAATAAAAATAATATTAAATACAAAGTAAAGTGCAGCTACTAAACTTTGCCTTTCACTGTGCAGATACGGCTAGCAAAGCTAAAGTTGATTTTAAACAATTCAGTCGCAGGGAAAAGTAATAGAGTGATGGTCAGAGATAGCTGCCAAAGGCTCCCTTTCTCGAATTCATAAACTCCGAGCTTATATATATTAAAATTTGCATCCTGGTGGAAGCCATCGAAAGTAGAGTTGGAAGTATACAAAAAGTAATAATTATAAAATTGTTATGTCACCTTAGAAATACTTATATGCGAAGTATCATTTTAAAATTTCTTTAATATAAAAGAAAAGTAACATTTTGTTCTCGGCTTTGGAATTTTACTTGTAAGAAAAAGAAACTTCTTTGATGATAGAATAGTTTAAGAAAAAGAAGTTTTTTTGATGATAGAATAGTTTAAATCTCTTTATTCTTTTCTATATAACTTGCTTTTGAAGATTTTTGGGTAAAGTTCTATATCTGAGCGGAAGTGCATTGCTCCGTATACATCTTTAAACATTCCTTTGGATATATGCAAGTCTTGCTTCAAAGTTAAAGAAAGAGCTCCAAGGATCGTTTCTTTGTATTAAATTTAGATTACTTTGTTACGTCTAAAAAGGGAAAAACATTCATGTCCTCCATTGGAGTAGGCCATGGAATTGTTAACATTTAAAGTTAAGTCCTCAAATATTTAAAATTTTTCCAACGAAACGCGTTCCATTATTTTTGCAGTTATCTGGGGAGCAAAAAGTAATTTATTTGAGACAGCTTTATTTTAATATCAAGATAAAACGAGGAATAAAAAAGAAACTAGCTTTAGTAAAGACTATGAAAAAGTGGTCTAAGGTAACTCAAAGCATAAATATAAATCTTTTTATCTCACTGTTTTATATAAAATGACACCAATGTGTACTTGTTTGTGTACATTTACCTTTATTTATCTGTATTTTATCTTATAATGGCTCTTTCTAATTTCCTATTTATTGCGAATTTGCTTTTATTTATTTATGATTACTTATTATTAATTTCGTGCCTTCCTATATTGCAATTTTATTATAATTTGTTTATCAAAATGAGTAGAATTAGAAAGATTGCCTATTACAGGTTCGAAGGATAATTTTTTTTCCAAGCTTATAAGGTTAAACACAATTTAGCTTAATATAAAATAAATCTAACCATCTAGCATGAAAGAAGAATTTTCTTTTGCAATATATATTTATATATATTGAAAGTATGTACCTCATGTTTGGTCGAGGGATAAAGTAATGAGTTGGTGACGTACGTGTTTTCAAAATTTATGCTAGCAGTTATTTGTTTGAACACGAAAATTAATTTTAACCACCTGAAAGTTCCACAGATAAACGATTTAACTGTTTGACTGATAGTTTTTGCATGCTATAAGTTCACAGCGAAAGCCTTAACCACTATTCTAGATGATCAGGAGGGAATTGAAATTTTGTCGAATTAAATAATAACTCACGCAATAAGATAAACAGTTGTAGCAGCCCAAAGAGAAAAACAGACGTAAAGCGCATAAATGGAAGGAATATCGTAGATTTCCAAAATTACCCACAGAGCAAGATCTAAAGCAGCAGTCACGGTGCTCGATGCTTCTATCAAAATAGTTGCAGACTCTTAACTAACTCACGGCTCTAATGCAGCCAATATTTATAGCTTTCCTTAAGGGAAAGAGTACCCATATCTTCGAAAGTACGTTTTATTCAAACAGATGTCACCAAGTAGGTGAGAAATGTCAAATTTCGTCAATATAGTGAAACATATTGTAGACAAAATCCAGTTAGAAGGATTAATATTCAAATATCTTGTTATGCTTGAGCTATCTCTATAGTTAAAACTTTGATAAATTCAGAATTAGAAGATTTATGAATTAATGCATGAAATAAATATTTACAAACACAATTAAGTGGTCACATATTCAATTAAATAAAAACGTCCAAGAATATTATTGCATAAAATGCACTAAATATATATGATTAAAAACAAAGATAACATATTAGAAGAATAACATATAAGAATATGAACAACCTCTATTCAAAAGAAATCAGTACGAATATTCACAAAAACTTTACACATCGTGTTTAATTTATCTTAGTTCAAGACATCTTAGTTTTTTAATCTTTTAATCATAATAAAATTCCTTCAAAATTTATTTTTTCTGTTTGCATTAAACTTTATAATAAGTTTCCTATTTAAAAGTCAGTTCATCGAAAACTCTCAATTATGAAGGGTTAATAAGCTGAATTTGCAGCTACTGAAGTTTAATCTATCATTTTGTAGAGCCATTATGTTTATCGAAACAGAAGATAAGATAAATGTGCAATACCCTCCCTAGGATTCGAACTTAGGGCATTCAGATCGCTAGCCGAACGTTTCCTATTACAACACGAAGGGAATGTTGGAGAACGTACTTTACAATTTAATAAAATATGGTTTCATATTTGAATGGCATTTAGAAGTTAGATTTTTAATAATCAGATTAATTAAATGAATATGATTAGTATTTTTCAGTACTGTGCGTTTGAGTTGATATTACTATATATATTATTATGATAATATTCTATACTTTCCTAGTTTCATCATCATCTGTGGAGGATGTTCAGAGAAGTATATAGGTGAGCGTATCTCAGATTTCGATATAGCGTTATCAAAAGATGCATATTGTCTTCCGTAAAGAGATTCGAAAAGTCTTAAACCTGCAGTTTTCTGATATTTAAAGTATCTAATTTTCAGAAAAATATCTAGAAAAATATCTGATATCAGCACTGAAGCTTTAACTGAAATCAATACAGATCTGAACTTGATTAGTTTCTCTGTTTCACTGAAATCTGATAGAAAATCATTTGATTTTGGGTACCATGTATTTAATTTTATTTTAGGCATTTTATTTATTAAGTAGATTAGGAGTTTCTTATCTCTGTACATCAAATTATCAACTGCATGTGTTTATTTTTTTATACGCTAAGCTTTAAGCTTCCTTGGTTGGTTTAAAACTTCCTCGAGAAACAGCGAAATCGACAAAATGGTTTACATCAGTTTTGACCATTACACACCCTTTTTTATTCACTTTTTTCAAAGATTATGAGTAGTATTACGATGCTTAATAGGTCATTATGTATTTAAAGAGAGTATACTTTGAATGCAATAAGCAAGACTACAGGAATCAAAATAAACAACTGTGTGAATTAATTTGATGTATAAATACAACGAATAGAAAATATTAAGTCAAAAGGGAAAATTTACCTCCCCTCTGTAAATGATGAAACAATGGTCACTGTGAATTGAAATAATAGAAGTTTATTTATAAAACAACTATACCGTAAAACTTCAGTCTTGCATCATGTACAGGATTTTCTGTCAAGTAGAATTATATACGCAAACCTGTGCTTTTCTTCTACCTAATAATAAAATATAATGTGGATTTCTTTCAATATTTATCTTCATGAACGTTTTTAGTAAATGTATAAGGTATTTCTCCCGCCTTCTTGGCATGCCTTCGTAGTGTGCTGGTCTGCACGCTGGGCGTGTATTCCAGAGGTCCATGGTTCGATTCTCGGCGAAGTCGATGCTCATTTTTCACTTCTTCCTGTTTAAAAAAAAAACCTAATGAACTTTGGATTTTATGTCTAATTTATTGTTAACACATAAAAATGTTTTTATTATTTATTTATTATTACTAATTAATATTATTAGCTTGTAAAAGAAAAAATACACAACATTTTATTATATTTCATTTGCCTTGTTAGACCTCGCAAATTCGATAGCAAATTTTTAGAACTGAATTTTGCCCTCAAGTTTCACTTTCCGAAGTTTCTGACCACAGCAGAATTTCTTAATGTATTTATCGGCAGTTTCAGTCTGAATTTATTGCTCCGTTCGCATTGCACTATTTCCTGATCGCACGATCTTTTCGTTCTAGTCGGCCATTAAAGAAGAGCACAGACTGAGTGCTTTGGTGAAACTGATGGACTTCGAGACGGCGATCGGCCCCAGGAATGCCCTAATGATCAATCCTCAGGGGATCGTTAAGAAGAATCCTTATTTTGAAGGTAATATGCGGCGCCATAAACGCCAAGTCGCGCTGGAGTTCTTAATTTAATTACGCCTATGCGGCTGCATTTTGCGGTAGCATTATTTGGTCCGGACTAATGTTGTCTGGAACACTTAAAGGCAGAATCTTAAACAGCTGGAGCTAATAGTGAAGCTTTAAGTTAATTGAGATGCAAGTCAGGCTTAGGTCGATTATGAAAGGCATGATGTAAAGGATAGAAGTAACTGTAATCTCACTTTTATAAAGGTGAATAAAAGGATTTTAGTAAAGCATTGAGTTAGAATTCGGTTAATTACCATTCATCGATTAATAGTGAAACAAACGGAAAATCTTTAGATGTAATGAAAACATTCTGTCTTTATTATATGAGAGCAGTTAATTTTAGCGAAGAAAGACAAACTTTTCTGCTCTGAAGAGTGGCATTCTTCATAGAAATTATCTATGTACTTTTCTTTTGTCTTCGGAAAGTCATTAAGAAATCAAAGAAATGTAAAACGTTAATACATTAAATAGAACGACAAAATTCTGAACTGAATTTAATTAAAACTTGAATCTTATAGTTTAGAATTATATAAGCATAATATATAATGCACTCAGATTTAGTCTAACAATTGGGAGTGGAGTCTGTTATTAAAAATTTATTCGTATATTTCTCTTTATTTTTCGTAAATAAAAATAATAACCTATAGTTAGTTCACAACATAAAACTAAGTCTTTAAATTTGAAAAAGATTAGCACCGCAACTCAAAAGAATGTCTTTGTTCTGGAGTTTGTTTCTGCGTTTGATTTCTGAATCTAAAACTGCATAAACATAAAAATAGAGAAATTTTAAAAACCTGTGTTACTGATTGAAAAAAAATGAAAAAAAAAATCTGAAAGGCTGATTCATATTTAACGTCGCACTAGAGGGCTTGTTATGGTTTTTTATGTTCTGGCTGACTCTCGCTGCTTACCAGTCTGTTCTTAGATTCACTCCTGGTAACCCAACCTTTTTTTTTGTATTTTTAATTTTGCTATTAGATATTGCTTTCTTTTCATTTACACCACATACAATTATGAAGTTTTACTTGTTTTGGTAGCATAAACTAGTATCAAACTAACAGACATTAATCGAATTATTGCTATATCTGGACAGAACTACAGAGTCTTATGGAGGCTTTAAAACGAACCTTTTATTAAGTCAGAACTGGAACATAAATGTACGTCTCATGCTTAACAAGTTTGCCAATAATTCCGTAATTTGCGGTTTTATTTCTGATAGCCGTTATATTCTGTGTTCGAAATGATCAGGATCTTTTAAATAACCATAAATATTTTAAAATTCGGCTCGGTTTTTAACTCAGAAATAACTACTTCGCGAGAAACTAAAATTTTTGAAATCAACATAGTACGTTTGAGTTCACTCTCCTCATCATTTAATTTAATTCTTGACAGAGTATCTGCGATGACATTTTCATTACCGGGAGTATGCTTAATTATTAAGTTATATTCTTGCAGTTTAAGGACCCATCTTGTGAATCTTCGTGATACATTCTTCCCGGAATACAAACGGCGGAATTATCTGAATAAAATTTTATAGGTGCTTTCTCAAATTTCTGAATCAATTAAAGAATTGCTAACGTCTCCCTTTCTGTTGCTTTATATTTCCCCTGACTTGAATTAAGTGTCTTACTAAAATATGCAACTGACTGAACGTCTTGCATAAGCACTGCTACTACCGCGAAATCTGATGCATGTGCGGGAATTTCTAGATTTTTCATTTGCTTCAGGAAATTTCAAAACTGGATATTGTATCAATGCGGTCTTAAGACTTAGTTTTCTTTCTCTATTATTAATAGCAGTTCTGCTATCTCTATGAAGTCTTTTATGGAAGTCCTATAATAAGAATATAGCCCAAAAATGAGGACAACTTCTTCGTAGTATTAAGCGGAGGATAATTTTTGATTACAACTATTTTAGAATAGCCGGTTTCGATTCTTTTCTTAGATATCTTACTGTCCAAGCAATGAAGTTCTTTGACAGAAAATTTGCATTTTGATGTATTTATTTTTAATCCTCTTTGTATTAGAAGTGAAACACTACTTGTAAATTTCGAATTTGTTCGTCTATAGTCTCGCTGGTTGTAACTATATAATTTAACTATATAATTAACAAATAAACGTAGATTTTTCGAGGACATGTTTTTATATAACATTCACAGCCTTCTGAAACGTGGTTGGTGATCAGCATAAGTCAAGTGGCATTCTCAGAAAGGCATAAACGCTTGACTTAGTAATAAATGCGGTTTTTAACACAATCTGTGGTTTTAAACATATTTAAAAATATCTAGACATAAGATCTAGCATTGTCATATAATTTTTTGATTTTACCTTCTTAGTTATTTCTTCAATTATAGGAAATGAATAAACTGGATGTTCAGTTATACTACTTAATATTTTATAATCAATTGGAAAACGCCATGCTTTATGGGTCGTCGGTGGAAAATTATTTTTCTTACGATGTAGTACTACCGGGCTAGCGTAAGGGCTGCTTATGGGAAGTAGCAGAATCTTATTACTTATCACCTCTTGAATGTGTTTTTCAATCATTTCTCCCTTAACTTTATATTAGAGGTAGGGCTTTGCTCGACAGGGGTGGGCTATTTCCTATGTCAATGCTGTGGTTTACAGTTGGCGTTAAACCTGTTCCTCATCAAATAAATCAACGAAATTTCTTACCAACTTTTCTCTTTCAGCCTTTCTTCTATCTCTATTGCTGGAATTGAGAGAGGGTCCTGTTCTCGTGTTGTGACGGTAGGTCAAAGGTTATGGCAAAAGTTAAATTTAACATATAACATACCGCTTCTAAGAATAATTACTTAATTTTATGGAATGTGCCCAATAAGCCAATGTATTCCAACTACAAATAAAAAGCAAAAGCAATAATCCAACTGCTAAAATACCGGGATTGTCGACTGTAACATTCAATAATATTAAAACATGTTACCTTACCTGCATAGTGCCATTTCTTAGCTTCAGAACACACGAGAAACATACTTTTGCGCATTATGTTAAATTTAGTTTTGAGAAGCTACACTCTGAATTTACTAATTTCTTGAATAAATAAATATATAATTTTATCGTTACGCCAAAATTACCTTTCATAGGATAAAGAAAAAACACGGATCTTGATCGTTCTTTATCGCTTCTATTCGCAAGGCTGCACGTGCACATTAGATCTTGAATCATCCTTGCTAATTAATTATGATGAAGATTCTCTTTAGCCGTAACCATCCAGAATTTTTAGTTTCAGAAAAGCAGCTTCTTATGGCCATCGACAATTTTTTGCAATGATCCACATTTTTTTTTTTTTTTTTGCCGCAAAATGTTTATTTGCCGCCTTAAATTTCGTTCTTTTTAAAATGCGGAGCATATGGTGCGCTCATACTCATAGAAAGAAAGGGGGGTTAAAACTGTGCTCTGAAAATTATTTACGTTTAAACTTGAATAATAATGTCATAACGTTAGAGGAGTAAATGAGAATTTATACTGTGGCATGTGGCTATCTGTGCTTTGAATTTTATTTGGATGAGATACTTTATTTTATTTCCAAAATAAGCTATAAGAAATAAATCTCTAAGCAACATTCTGATTTTGGAAGTTAAATCATTTTTGCACATTTACCTTTTTTATGCTTCTATGTTTATGTATAAGTTGTTAAAATTGATATTTAAGCAGTATCTCCGAGCTTATTCTGCACGAGATACATAATTTAAAAGGATAAAAAAAATCTGAAATGTTTCAGATTTTAAATTACGTCCAAAGGGGCGTTTTTTAACATTTTGTGTGTTACCTTTCTTTATTAAATATCATGTTCCTCGCACTTAAACCATAAGATCCAGTGCAACAGCAATATCGCAAAATAGTTTTAAAACGAGCATATCTTTAGAATTTCCGATACAGAGACTCACGCGCTGGAGATAAAAATGTTTTTTCTGCACAACGTTGCCATTGCTCGCTTTGAAATCTTTGAGTTTGTTAATCAAAAATTCGTCAAAGTTTAAAAAAAAATAAATCGATCATAAAACAAATTTCAAATTTCAAATTTGGTCTTCCAGATGCTCCATATTCGTTGGAGAATTACGCCATTCAAAATTCGATGACTCTATGTACCGTTATTGTTATCACAATGCGAGAAATATGCATACATTTACGCAGATTTTCATTATTTAATTTCTTCAAATATAATGCAGGACTCTAATATTTGGTGGCAAACAGTTTGAAAAGTGAACCGACATTTATCCGTCCGACGCAAAATGCCAAAACGAAACTAATAGTCCTTCGGGATTCAAATCCCTTTGGACTAAAAAAACTATTCTATTATATACGTAGCTGTGAAAATGCTTACAAAAGTTTAAAATATATTTAATATAAATTACATAGGTAGATGCATTATAAATTTCATTATTTAAAGATATTTTTAAAAGTTAGATTAAGATATGAATTATTAAGTATACGTATATTTGTTTTTTAATCGCTCAGCTAGTTAAGCACTGTAATGCTTTAATTTGAAACATATTTTAAGGACCCTACAGAACGCAGAATGGCAGTCTCCTGAGAATAGCCCTTTGTCAGACCGTGTAGATAATAAATTCGTTGGTACATATTCATAATATAACAAAAAGGAAAGCCTACCTATAAATATTTTTGACATAAGGGGGAAGGAGGGAATTATGAAGTTCATAATTTGTAGAACTAGTAAACACGTTTTGTTAATTACAATAATATTGTTGCGTTTTTCTCTTCTTCTGACACCAGTTGTTACGTTATTTTCTTCCTTCACGTTCGTACGGGGCTCGTGTGGATTTGGAGTGAATAACGACGACACATGATGAAGTATCGAAACACACTTTATTGGCCGGTATTAATCAAGACCGCCTCCAATAACACTTTTTACAGTCGTCGAAGATCTTCTATAAACACGTTGGAACAATCAGCTACACAGCCTTCACACTGTCAGGCAATAACGGTGGAAACAGCTTCACTGAAAAGCTGCCGACTCTGCTCGGTCGTTCTCGGAACTTCGCGTACTCTCAAGACTCTCCACGCTATAAATCGCGATGCACTCGAGGACACACGAGCACAGCTCTCGACTCTTCGGTTCAGTCGTTCCCGGAGCTCAACACGCTCTCGCGACGATGCACCAACCGCGATATACTACGGGACTCTTGTGGTGCACTCGACGACCCACTCCGCACTCGCTGCCCGGCTGTCAACTCGATCGACTCCGCAGGGATTGACTCTTTAGACGAGACGCCAACACGATACTGACTAGACGAGGCACACTCACTCGCCCTCTCGATGAAGCACGCCTACTCTCTGACTGCGGACCAGCAGGGTTTATATAGCTTTCGGCCTGTGTTCGAGAACATTCTGGGCTAAACCTGGACCTGGACTCGAACCTGGACTTCTCGAATATTCGCCGAGAGTGCTATTTTACACCATGGTGGTATGCGGGAAAGAGGGAGAAAATACCTTATAGGTTAAACGTACTTTAATTTACATATATTATTAAACATTATTAAAAAAATAAAGATTAAAATTGTCAAGAAATGATTTTATTGCTTTTAAACCGCTCAGCCTGTTAGGCAGTTATGGCAAATTAATGCTCTTATATTACATTGAATGGCAGCAACCTGGAAAATGACTGATTTTCACATTGGTTTGAAATTAAGTTAAAGATACTGTACCTCGTATAATTATAAAATTTTCAGGGCACTGGAATGATAAACAGTATGTAACATAAAAGCATCCAAATTTTGACAGACTCCTAGCACTGAAAAAAATCTAAAGTATTGAAAATTGTTGTGAAATAAACATAAAACAAGTAAGCAAATTAATTTGCTTAATTGTTTCATTTTGTAACCTAAAGGCTTTTCACTGTACACATACGTTACAGGTTTATCTAAGACTGACGCCATAGAACTTAGCTCTTATCTCCATTTCCGTCTTCCTGACAGTGATGTAAGCTTCGCTCCAACGATACAAATCTGTCCTTCGGGTGTGGATAAAGCTCTGCAGTTCTTGGAACCTATTAGCCACGATTATCCACCAGGTAAGTAAGTTTAGCTGAATATCCTTAGTGATTGTCTGGTAATGAAATTTCGGTTTATAACCAGAACTGGAAGCAACTAAGCTGCATGTAGCGCTTCGGATATACCAGTTTTAGAAGAGATGCCTTTATGTAAATAAAGCTAACCTGTCCTTATTTTATGCATGGGCAGAATAAAAAAAAAAAAAAAAAAAAAAAAAAAAAAAAAAAAAGTCTATTTCAACCAGTTTTTTTCATTGGCCTAAAGAATTACCAGCATTTAGTTTGTGACAGCATTTAACTCGTTTCAGACAACAATTCGTTAAACTCATTAATTACGGTCCTTTAAAACAGCGGTTACTTCTTTCGCGTAGCCATTAATAAAGCTTTATAATCTGAGTATTCTTGACCTCCCTCCTCATAACCTACGAACCTCCACCTTCGTCTAGTTTCCTAAAAATTATCTTAATATTATATTATTCTATTACAACAAATTTAATAAGCTGCAATGAATAAGGTAAACAAATATAATCAGTAAGTTGCTCTTTTTTTTCAGATAATGATAATTTTGAGGCTGATTCAAAGAAATTTTCATTGAAAGAATCTGAAATCCAGTTGTCCTGCTCACTTGGGATTGGAAAATCCCAAAAAATTTCCAAGAGATTGGGAAAGTAATATATATGAATGACCCTCGAAACTTGCATATTGCTTCAATTGATGATAGTTGTAGAGACATTAAGTTATTTTTAAAGCAGAAGGGATGAAAACTGAGCAAAGCCTTCGCCGGGAATCGAACCGCAGACCTCTGGAATAGGCGCCCAGCGTGTAGACCACTACCAAGACACGCTAAGAAAGCGGAAGAGATACTTTATATAGTTTCGGAAACTTAATCAATCAAATTTAATCTAAACCAAAATCTTAACGGATTTCATTTTGGCAGTGTTACATTCGCTGTCCGCTTCCCTGTCTGGATAGACTGATGCTGCTACTTTTCTTAATGTAACATCTTAAAAATGTAAAGTTCTTCAGGAATTAATAATTTTCATGTTAAGGATCCTCAATTTTTCCACAACTCTACGTGGCATCCTGTCTGTTATAAATTTCTAAAACTTTAATACGAAACTAAATCAATTATTTTGTAAGTTCCCCAAATTAGTTCACGTAAGCTACTGTTATGTAGTATTTATTTATTAAAAAAACTGCAAGTATTTATTTATGTTGGCATAAATTTAGAAAAGCCAATTTTTACATATAACCAACTATACCGAACAAAATACATTCCAAAATTTCTCCAGACCTTTGTAGTTATTGAAAAAAAAAATAAGTTAAACTTTTACTAAAGATCAACCTGGAATGACGCTTTACCAAAGAACATTGCTGTTACGGAATTGTCAGCACATCATGCGTTCGCCACATCAGATTTTTTTTTTTCTGTGTAGTTTTCCTTCCAGCTTGATGACATGAAATTCTGATTTTGACTTCACGGCATTCTTCCACATTTTTCCAGCACATATAGAGGTTTATTACACTAAATTCAAAGAAATACTCTATTTCTTATACACTAGTGGTTTCCCAATTATGGGCTGAAATTAGTAGTGAGTTTGTAGCCATCTCTTGGCAGGTCAAGAATTTTTTAAAATTTCGTTATATAAGAACCGACTATATTTATTTATAATTACTTATTAACTTAAAATTTTAGGACATTATCAACAGTATATTTAATCGCTTAATTTATTTCTTAATTAAAATTCATATCCAAAAACTTTCATTCTCTTTCTCCTGTCTTCAAGCAACTATCTGCATGTGGGTTACAATAAATTGCAGTTCTAAAATTGGGTCTCTAAAAATACCGAAGTGTGTGAAAAACTGTGGTCTAGATCATTACAACCGAAAATAGTTTACTTCAATGAAATTTTTGACTAATATTTCTTTCATTTTAAAATTACTTTCCTTATTATTTAGGCGTGAAAATTGCAGTGCAATGATGCTAGTGCAAAGGATAATAAATTTAACTTGATATTCTCACCCAAAATTTCTAAAGAGAAATTCTTAAATGTGAGTTTCTTCTTCGTTATCTGTAACAGGAAAATGAATTGGAAAACGGAATTAAATGTGTCATAATTTTTTTCTCTTGATACTGCTGAAATGTCCGGTTTAAGAAAGAGCTCAAAATATCCCTTTGGAAATACTAACTGATGTGAAAGCAATTAAATGCTGCGTATATCACTGCAAAGGAGGATGTAAAGAAATGATGATGTCTTCACCAAGTGTCGTTTTATCCCAGAAATAGCGTGTGATGGGACAATCGTTAAAAAAACTTTATTCTTATTTCAGACATTTTATTCCTTTTCCCTCATTTGGCTTGGTTAAAGCGCTGGTATCCAAGGAACGCTCTTTTGGCATTAGGAATATTTTTAGAGGTAATTTCGATTTTCCCGAAACAATTTCGAAGAGCGCTCTGATTCCATGAAGATCAACTATAATTTCCCAACAAACATTGTTTTCTTTCATATGTCTCAGTCAGTTGATAAAATAGTGCATTGTTGCCCTGTAAGATGATATGAATTTGCGAATGGTCAAGAATATTTCACTGAAGCATTCCTATCGGAAACTCTTAAAATAAAAAAGAAAATAAATTGAAGTCTTTTAAATTAGCTTTCATAAATTTTAAATTGATGAATTTAGTGTAGTGAACTTAGCAGGGCAGAATTAATTAACTAAACTGAGTAGAAGATTCGAATTACGGTATTTTGATCTCTTAGACTGTGTAAAAGATACTATAAATTAATCTGAGTAATTACGGTATCATTGACCAAGTTATTCAAGGGTAACAGAAGACTCTGATCAATAGCGAAATAATTATCTCAAGGTATTACACAAAACTTGAATTTAACTTTAACATTCTTTAGGGATGTAAGACTTTCACTGTGTAAATCTCAGTTACTGTAGAAAGTGACGAGTCTTAAGAACTAGATAGCGAATAATCGCTTAAGTTCCGGTGACAAGAAACAACAAGATAGAAGGGTAACTAACCCTTTATTTTCCAATAAGATTAACAAACTCCGCCTGGGAGTGTACAAACCAAACCGACACTTGGCTCGACTAGAACTAAGAATTAAACTAAACTAAGATTAACTATACAAATATAGCCGAAGCTACAAGATTAAATCGCGTTGACCCCTTACTATTACTACGACTCAAGGGCCTGAGTACGGCCGAGCGTAATAACAGCATTGAGAGAGTGAGTGGCCAAAAAGGCAGACGCACGTAAATCAGAAACTGTGATTCTCTCTCACTCTGTAAGTTCGTGGTTTAAATACCGCTCCTCCTCATTAAATATTCAGCAAGATTCCAAGGCTACGTTCTGGCCGGAAGTAGTAAGTTGAAGTTAAGAATTTGACAGGAAAGGAACTTAAAATTTAACTGTTAATAAAATTAACATAATTCTTACAGGGAAATGCTGTCTTTTCAAGAACTGCCAAAAAAACGTAGTCAGTACCCAATTGTAAAAATGTAAAGTGGCAGAATAAATAATTTCTTAAACATTAATACACGTTTAAGAGAATTAAAATTTTCCCATCTCTATACGTCTATGATCCTTTGTAAGGTGTATGTTAATTTTATAACAGTTATTTTAAATTTTTAAACGCTTTCCTTTCAATTCTTGTTTTCAACTTACAACTCCCTAGCAGAATGAATTTTTAGAATCGCATTGGATGCAAATGAACTAGAAGAAGTATTTAAAGGAAGTTCAACTTACTTCGAAAGAGAGTGCGTAGGTGTCCTTAGAGGCGCGTGTTTGCATTCTGGTTACTTCGTTCTTGAATCTATTCAGTTTGGCCGTATTGTACGTGCCTGTTGATATTTGCCTCCTAGTGTAAATTAAGGACTAACTACGTTAGGTACTTGCGTCTAGTTTCGGCTAAGTTTATTTTAGTTAGTATTAGAATAGTTTCTTATTTTGTTTTCCGGATTTAAAAGCCTGAGTTAAGGCTTTCCTGTGAATACGAGAAGTGACTTTGTTATTATTTTTTTGAGTCAATGAAAGGATAATTTAACTCTTCTCGAGTCTACGTAGTAAGTGTTTGAATTCAGCGATAAGTTGGTGCTTAGTTCAGTAGGTTCCTTGACATTTTATCATAGACAAAGAAGTGAGGAATCTCTACATATAATAAAAGAAAGAGTTTGTCTGTGTGTGTGTCTTTCGTTCGCGCCCCGCGTAAGCTAAAGACCACGCTACTAACTTGGTACCTAGGTGCATCTACAAGAGCCAGTGCACTCGAAGTATTTTTCGAAATTCGATTCGAATTTTTTTAGTTTATTTTTGTGACGAAATGCTCATTTGAGACATAATGGGTATAGGAAAGCGAGATTTTACTCACAAAGTACATTTCACATCTCAGAACGTAGGCACTAGCTATTTTAGACTCAAATAATTTCGTGTTGCAATAATCGATTAATACAAGTATTTAACAAGTGAGCTTAACCTTTTCAAGGGATTTTCTAAATTAAAAAAAAGTACAGTTTATTTTTTTGAGTTTTGGACACGTGAACTTTCATCCTTGCGATGCTTTTAAAAAACTAATTTGGAAAATGAAATTTGTATTTAAAAAAATTTAAATGAAGCTCCAGTACATTCTCACATCTCACATCTTTTGGCAACATTTCTTTCGTATTGTTGTTAATAGATTTTTGTGAAATCTCATCATTTGAATAGTTCATCTTTTAGAATATGGGTTTGGACAATTTTTATTTCATTTCCCTATCACGTTTTTTAATAGATGGCCTACTCATTGTCTTTTTAGACTATCTATAATGCATTTTTATTATTATTTTCTTTGTGTGATAAATTGGGCGCGAGAAAAGGCGCCGGGAATTTTTGAGTGGCGGAGGTGATGGGTTATTTCACGGGGTGTTGAGATTGAAAAGTTTCTGATGTTTTCTTCAACGAAAGTGGTTAATGTGTTATAGGTATGAATCTTTGCATGAAGAGATATCACGAGGCAGGAATTTTTCGCTGAATATAAGATAAATAGCAGGAAGAGACTTTGATTTCAGAATTTTTGTTTTTGATTTTAGTTATTATTGCTCATTCACTGTTTTTAATATGAAAGTTTAAGTTAAGTGAATTTTTAGGAAAACAACTCCTTTATCCATTTGAATCTCTTAAGATTTTGCAAAGAGAAGTTGGTGAATTTATTTATTAGGCAGAGAAGTTGGTTAATTTATTTATTATGAAATTAATATTGTATTAAGGGAATTGCTTATTTCATTGTAATTTTGTTATAATACTAATAACACTTTTTTATGAAGTTGTTCTGCAGAGTAAAATTCTAAGAAGTTTTTAAATTTAACGTTTGGTGTTCCCTTCAGCCATTTTTTCGGTACATTTAAAAGCCAGACAGAAGGCTGGCAGCGAAGCTGCTACTATTACATATTTAAGAAGTTGTCTTACTCCAATACTTGTAATATTTATAAATATTTTTTACGGTACTACCTACCCGTCAAATTCATACGTAATTTTACTTTAAATATTAATCACTGGTGTAAATGATAGAGTTTTTAATACAATATAATACATCTTATATAGAATTTAAATTTCATAAGTACTTATTGCCTCTTCTTTCTTTTTTATTCAAATGTCGTTGCAGCATAAAATAAAGCAAAGAGTTTATTTGGTTTTAAAAACTTATATATGCTGTATGAAAACACATGAAACGTTTATTAGAGGTATTCAACAGCAGCGAAATGTATATAGGGGTAAATTTACAATGCATAAAGTTTTAAAAAGTCTCTTAATTAATTTTGTTTTTGGTCCACAAAGTATACAAGTTAATGCTTTTAAACTATCTTCCATCTGTCTTCATGTGACAATTATATATTCTATATTATATTATATTCTTTTAGATTATTACTGTGTAGGGTTCCCCTTAGTTTGCATAAAAAGTTATTTTAAGGTTAATATCTTTACTGAACCTTGCATTTCCTCTCCAAGATGCAAATTTAAAGTTAAGAGAAAAAAGTATAAAAACAGACGAAGTTAAAAGTTTATTAAAAGCGTGATTTTAACTAGTCTAGCGCACGTTGCTATTTTGTCCTTGCTGCTGTTACGTTGAGTTGCTGATACGCTTTTTGGCCATTTAATAAGTCTATCGCCGGGTAGGTTGTTAATCAGCCTAGTAATCATCTTAATTGTTAGTCCAGCACCACTATTTATCTCTGAATTTTGTTAAAGTATTCTTAAGTTCCCACCGCAAGTAGTCGGTGTTATTATAAGCACGAAGTAAGTGCATTTGTGTTAAGCGTTTGACGAATAATAAAGGGTTTGTTTTACTCTTATTCTGTGCTGGTATTATTCACTAGTCGCCTTCTTTCTAAGATCACTCTAACTGTATGATAGAAAAGAAGACTAGATCTTACAACCGGTCATGCTTGCACCTTTTCAACTTCCATATTCTAGTAATCCTTTGTATTTCAAATACCACATTCATATGAAAATTGCATAGGGAATTCTTTCTTTTAATCTTACTTTGAGTAAGACTTGGATTATGAGCAGATTTCGACTAATAAATGTTATTTTTATCCTCTTTCACGCTAGGCTGTTGGATTCTACAAGGTGATCCTCTCATGGAAGTGATTACTCTACGCAACCTATGGTGGCCTGGATATACGTTCTATCACAAGCCCGAAACCAAAGAATATAACGCTATCTACATAGGGTATGGAGAGCGCAATGATGATTTGCCTTTCATGTTGTGAAGACTAAAGGAATTTATTAACCTGTTTAAACAGACACTTCGTGATGTTTTTCTTCGAATAATGTAGTTTTTTCAAATAGATTTTGTATATTATTTGGCAATTTAGTTTCGTCAGTTTGAAATTAAAACTTTAGCCTGAAAAAAAGCTTTTATTGTCAGTTTCGGACAAATGACATTTGTAATATAAGTTGGCAACTTCTAAATCCAAATATACATTTAAATTTGTCTGTTATGGACACTTAACTTAATTACTGTAATTTTGCACCTGGTTAATTTTCATTATCTTATACACGCAGAGCAGTTTTTATTGTCTTCTAGTAATGCAGTGATACAGGAGTGAAAATAATGAGCTTGCATGATTCGAAATACTAATTTTGATTTCACCAGCAGTATTTAATATTTTTAGCAGCACATTATTGCTCAATTCCTAAATTATAAAATACATTATGAATATTATATTTTAGATATTCTTGTGTCTGTAATCTATATATATAAAGAAGAAAGTCTATTTGTTTGTTCGATAATAACTCAGTAACTACTACAGCATTGTCACCAAACTTTCTACAATTCTTTTCTGCGTCCTCTAAAAGATCGACGTTCACTTCTCCCCCAAACAAGTAGCTAAAATCAGAGATATTAATTAAAAACTCGGAAAAACGATCATTTTCGTCCTCATTTTGTGCCAACAGTCTCGCAAGCTGGAGATGAAAATCTGCTTTATTTCGAAAGTTGTTGCACCTGCTCGCTCTCAAATCCTAGAGTTTGTTAATAAAAAATTTCTAAGTTTTACGATAAAATAAAAATAGCATTGCCAAACACTAAATACATTATATTCTCGATTCCAAAAGTTCGTGGGAAGCCATTTCGACTATTCCCATCTTCCTACGACTTTAATCAGCCGAAGTATTAATTAAAACTTCTGAAAGCGCTAATTTTCGTACTCATTTTCCCAAGTGGCAACAGTTTCGCGCGTTGGAGATAAAAAATGCTTTATTTCCAAAAGTGTTGCTACTGCTCGCTTTCAAATCGTAGAGTTTATTAATCAAAATTTTGTAAGTTTTACAATATCTATATTTATAAAGAAGAATGTCTATTTGTTCGCGTTATTGATTTCTGATCAATTATGATACATTTTTTTGGCCACATTTAATCGACTAAAATTGAATCTAGGTGAAGTATTGGTTGGAACTTGAGCTTTTACGACCATTTGATTAGAGAGACGAAAATCGTTAAAAACTGCGTGCCATCGTTGCTGATTTCATAAGAGTGAATTAGTTTATTTTTCTATGGAAATTTTTTATGTTGGTTCCATATCGCATCAGGCTAAAAAATATATGACTATGAATTTTTGCATCGTGAATAGAAAAAGATTACAGCGGTATCTCTCTGTTGTTAGATACATTACTCTCAATCTAACTTAACTGGCATCGGGTACTTCCGCTAGTAATGTATACACTGGTGTGCAAAACTTAAGCAACAATATAAATTTTAATCATATAGCCATGAAGTTGCAGAAAAGAGGTTCTTGCGATAAGTACAATGAACACGCAATTCAGTTGAAAGTTCATACGTATGCAAATGTCAGGAACAAAATGTCACAACCGAAGCAAGCATATGCAAAACACGTGCGGTCGGCGGGCTCAACTCAAGTCTACAATAAAAGGAAGGACGTAGACGCAATTAAAGACATTCACTGCAAATACAGGTGGGTCCTTTCGTGAAAATATGGCTAGAAGAAATCACATGGATGACTTCACACCTGGAAGAATGATGGAAAACCTGCAGGAGGGGCGTAGTGTGACCAGTGTAGCTAAAGAGTTCGGGTTGAACAAAAGTGTCGTTTCGCGCGCTTGGAAAACCTTCCAAATCATAAGAACAGCTGTTAGAAAGATTGGTGGTGGCCGTCCCAGGAAAACAACTGCAGTGGATGACCGATATATCGTCCTTCAGGTAAAAAGAGTCCGAAACTAGTCAGCAAGCGCCATAGCTCAACAACTGTATACAGCAACGGGGTGACAAGTGTCGCGGTTTATTGTGGCGAGACGCCCTCACAAAGGTAGCCTATTCGCCCGCCATCCTTAATGCTGCACCCTTTGAAAGTTGCCATCGATGAGACCGTTTAGAACGGTGCAAGAAGCACGAAAACTCTGCATCTCATCAATGGAGTAGTGTCCTCTTTATGGATGAGTGCCACAAGCAATTTTCAACGCCAGCTGATTTGGAGAGAGGTCGGTTTCATCCCAGTAATGGTTTCATTCCAGGATAGTTTCATTCAGGAAGGCATTATGCTGAACGGGCGCACAGAGCTCCCTATTTAAGACAGCGTTTCTGTAACCGGAGATCGCTATTGTCAGAAGGTGATCCTTCCCCACACGCATCTGTTCTGTGGTGCCATTGGAGCAGACTGATTTTTTGGATGACAATGCACGGCTGCACCGTACTAATGCTGCTCAGAAGCTACCGAAAAGTGAAGATATCACTCGAAAGGATTGGCCAGCGTACTCCCTTGATTTAAATCCAATAGAACATGTGTGGCATAATTTGTGGAGATGGCTTGCGGCAAGATTACATTCTCCGGGAAAACCCGAACAACTGAAACAGATGGTGATTGAGGAATGAGCACTCTTACCTCAAGATCTGTTGGCCAGTCTGGTGCTAAGTATGGAGAGACGGTGCGAAGCAACCATTGCAATAATGGGAGGGCATACCCCATGCTAAGGAATATCTGCTTGTTGTTCTTCCTCTTGTACACACAGTCATGTATAACGATACTATGAGTTCAATAAAGCCTTTTTTTGTTTGATTCCATACTGTTTGCATTGTATTCATTTTTGTGCACCCATGGTTTCGTCATCGTTTAAATACAAACTGCTGTCTCATATTTCTGAATTTCATGTCTCTCAGATGATTTCTCGTGGAGTTATGGCAAAAGAACACCTGTTGCTTAAGTTTTGCACACCAGTGTATATGATATATTTGACGCAGGAATTAATAACAACTACAGTTTGAAAAGCTTTAATTTATGTATTATTGAATAAACAGTTGTGGAAATAAAATTTGGACTGACTGTGTGAGGTTTATCTATTTATTTTTAACTAATAATAAGTTCGAAGACCTTTTTAACTGATAATAAATTCAAAGACATTTTCAAACACATTTTCCTATTACTCTCTTTTCACCCACGCTTTTCATACCAGAATGTAAATGAGATAGCGAGAATTTATTCAGATTAAAGAAGAATGAAGTGCTATTAAGCAAGAGTTTCAGAAGTTAGTTGTAGAGTGTGTCACCCTATTCCAGGACACGTTGTGCTGTGATTATTAGCGACTTGCGTTAGCGGCTTTGATTGTTCTAGCTATTTGTCTCGGCGGTTTGCTACAAACCAGAGCTCTTACTGCGCGTTAATGTATTCTGTGAGCCGTTAGGCTAATCTACTGCACCTTGAAATTATTAGTTGTTACGTTATTCTGTTAAGCCAGAAGTGCATGGCTTCTTGTAATCCAAGTTGGGTCATTTGTTAATTTTATGTTTGAATAAAAAGGCCTAATACACCCTTCGTCTGATTTCTATTTTGTTTCACAAAGTTAGAAGATAAGTCTTAAATAGTCCTTTTAAAGTCTACATTGTATATTTCCAAAGAGACATAGACTTTACAATTGTTTTCATGACTAGGATATTTCAAATAAAATATACTTAAACTGAAAAGGCAAATTTGCTAATCTGATTTGTATTGATGAAATTACGATCACTCTATTTTTTATAGTGCTATGCATCAGTGTACTTACACGTTGCATATGCATTAATAAAAGCTGCGCTGTATTAAAATGTAGTCTAGGTATACATTATCTAGGTATGCTGTATTCAGAAGAAAAGGGAAAGGAAAAGCCGTCACATAACTGCAGTCAGTAACACATTCGTTCCATTTTGCTTTGTTATCGCTCATCAGCGACTAAGGGGACTATGGATAGTTATTTTTTCTCCGGGTTCTAATTAGCTAAATGACTATTCTAATTAGCTAGATGAGACTTTTTACATAACGTCAGGAATGCTACTGAGAAAGTTTTTACGAAAAAATATTTTCCAAATCACATTTCATCTTGCACTGAAAAAGAGAGTATTGACAATATGCTGCAGTAAATTCAAAGGGCAAATGATAAGTTTTTGAAGACAAAGCTTAAAACATTTAGTAAAAATTGTTTGTTATTAAACGTTACCAAATCTTCAGTATTCAAGACTGCAGATTGCTGAAAATAACAAAAGAATGAAATAATTAATCTCAGAGTTATACTTTTGATCAATGTATGTCAAGTCGTGGAAAAAAACAAATATTTCAAGTTATTAAAAACAAATATTTCAAGTAACTAACCACTCATGTGCAGCTGATAAATAAAAATAAATTAAAAATACCATATTACAGAATACTTTCAGGTATGTTTTTATTGGGAAATGTAGCTGTTGTATCTGTTTAAAATACTTTTGGCTTTTTTTATGAACTTATGTAACTTGTATATGTTTTATTAATTTCAAATGCATGTATTTAAAACTCATTATAATTCATTTCATGCCTATTCTCAAAAGACACTTTTATGTAAAAGATATTCGTATTTTACATGGAATTTAAATCACAATGTAGCAGCGAATCAAGAATGGAAATCCACATAATGTGCCATATTCAGAACATGCTTCGGTCGTTCAAATATGGCTCAGTATTAAATTAAAGACAATTTATTTATTAATTTTATTAAATCATTTTGATTAAAATGGTTTTAGAAATAAGCAATCAGATAATCAAAAACTCGAGTTCTAAATTTTTTCTTGATTAAAAAAATTAGAAATAGTACTGAAATATAAGTTTGAAATACTAAAGTCAAAAATAAAAAATTATGAAGGATACTGGAATGCCAATCAAGAATAGAGTTATTGATTGAACTCAGATATGCGAAATTTTAAAAGCCAAGAAAACAAATTTCTTAAAAATAGGACTTGATAACCAAAAGTTTCACAAAAGCTTTAGTTGTTCGACATTAAAGAATGCCAGGGCGAAAGTACTTAAAACAATGAAATTTTGTCTCAAAGTGATTTCCCTTAGGGCCATCGCAAATGGAAATTTTTATTTTTTTTTGCCGTGTCCCTAACACAAATTATCCAATGCAACTGAGTTACCTACTACATGTCCATTACCATAGGGAGCTCCATAAAAATATAAGTATAGGACAGTATAATAGGAAAAGTCAATACTTCGCAACAATGTTAATACATTAAATTTACCAACGTAATGCATTTAGTCTAAGTGTTGTGTGTTGTTACTGCTGTTGGGATGAATGCATGGAAACAACTTTCAGTAAATAAGAGCACTCGTTTTCGGGCAATAAACTGAGGCTTGGAAAGTTTCTCACAGACTGACGAAGTTCTCGCAGAACTTCTTAGAATGTCAAACAACTAAAGCTTTTGATCATGAAGTCTTTTTTTAAGAACTTTAACTCACGCAGTCTTTTGGTTTCCTGACTTACTTCATAAGCATTGCCTTCAAGATCAAGATCAATGATTTTTAGCACCTAAAAGCTTATATAATAGGTGATGTGGCTATAGTCATAATAAACATACATGAAGCAATGCAGAGTGATACTGGCCTGGATACCTGGATATTTGTGTCGCCAAAAATGGTGTACGTATTGAAGGTTTTCTAGACGTTACAGAAAGTGAAATCTTCAATAGTTTCCTTTCCAGAAATTCCCTTTAAAGCGAATTAAAATGCTTATGTAAAATTAAAGACAGATCCATCCGAATTTGTGACGAGAAATTTAAAAACATTTTGCATAACATTTTTGCTATTTGTTGTAAATTTTACGAGTCACTGTACTAAATGTAATAAAATTGTACTGGCAATAAGCCAAAAAGAAGAGATAATTAAATCTGATTTTTACAATGTTAGCGTTGAGACAAAAAATAACCCGAATAGAAAAGAATATTAAGATTTGATTCTGATGTGTCTTAATAACCAAAAATTGTGGAAAAGATAAATGTTGATCCCATGTACTACATCAAAAAAAGAACGCGTAATAGCTTATCTGTGAAATAAGCACTTATTCATAACATTAATATGTTACATAGATATATATTTGATCACAACCTAGATAACACTAGTCGCCTAAGACATTCGAGGGTTTGTCGTAGAACAATAGAGTATCGAAGTGAAATCTTGAAATATTGCCAAAGGCACTAATTAAATTTCGAGGTCATGCTTTCAGAATATTACAGAACTTAAATAGGAAAGAAAAATGTCAACTGCCTTTCAACAAAATACTCACTTTGCTCGATCTCGTTCACAAGTACGAAAATTAATCATTATACGAAGACGCACTAGGACTTGCTTGAGAAAATTGTATCACCGAATCGGCCTGGGACAAAAAGTTACCAGACGATTCTTGCAGCCTTCATTCACGCGTGCGAGGGTAAGGACAAGGAAATAAGAGAGGCAAAAAGTTCCAAGTTCCGCTGTTTGTGCTGGAAATATCGTGCAGCATGTACAATGTTTTCCGGCTCACGTGGATTTATCACTTTGGTGATCTCCCACACGAGAAGAAATGGAACTTCAAAAACGATCTATTTATAATCGTTTCGTTAACTCTCTGTCGAAAACGATCTATTTATAATCGTTTTCGACAGAGAGTGGACGAATAAATTCGGAGTGGAAATGTGAGGGCTTTCCTTCAACATTAAGCAATAGGACTATCGATATTGGAAGAAATTTTCTGTTGCTATAAAAAAAGACCCATTTGTGCTCAAACGCCTGCATAACAACGTTGACACTGCATTACCACAGCATTTTACGCGTCCCCAAGAAAAGCATTCTATAAAGTCATTCTTTCTTTAGCTATAACTCATATAACAAATTTGAAAGAAAACGTAAGATGCATTTATGAAGGTCTGCTATAAAATCAGTGTCCTATAAATAAAATAAGTTAAGAAAAAAGATAAGTTCGAACGATGCAGTAGATCTAGCAATGCTCAATGCTTTAAATTGCATAGAAACAGAATTTAAGAAACAAACGATCGATTTTGTATCATGATGATTATACAAAACAGAGCTTTAAAGACGCTTTGCTCAAGAATTATCTGATAGATGAAACTTTTTCTAATTTGCAATATCTGAAGGTTTTAATCACTTCAAAAGAATAATTTATATGAAGAAAACACAATTATATCATCTTCGTAATCCACATAGCAAATCTCTCTTCTTATTGCGTTCCATTTTGCAAATCCTCAATCTTTTTCAATTATTCTTCTGTACAACTTGGTCTTTTTTTGCTTATTTCATTTGGCGAAAGCGAAAATGCATTTACTGCATAGTTTTTATCTTTTAATTATAAAGGAATAAAATTCATTCTTTTTCAGAAAAGCCAATTAGTTTTTGAAATCCATTCGCCCCACTTTATTGCGAATACCGAAAAGTTGTTTAAATAGGACCATTAAAAAATGCATAAGTATTACAAAAGAAGAGGCAACAGAAGTGATTGAACAGTTTAAGGATAGCTACATTTTAACCATTTCTCACCAATTCTTCAAAAGAATGGGCTGTTGAACTTTAGAAAGTATCAGAAGCAAAGTATGATCTGCGATGTATTGAAATTTTCAGGAGATCTAGAACGATTTCCCATAACTCTCAGCTGGTGGGTGCCCATTTTTAGCATCTCCTCTCCAGTTTTTTTGACTGTTTACATTTGGGACTTTGAAGGAATGTAGCCATCAGTGACAGAGAATTTCGCTCTAGCGCTGCACTGTATATCATCTATTCATGATTTCTACTGCCTTAGAGGATATTTAAAATTAATGCAAGCTAACAACCCAGGGGCTAAGGATTTGCCAGTAAAGTAAAGTATTTGATTCGATCCGCTTTTTCTTTCAGAGCGATGACTTCTAGTACCAATGTATTAGCTCTACAGCTGCAATTTTTTTCTTCCCACTTTTTATCACGGAATTTCTTAATTTTGGTTTTAATCATCTTGCTGACGCTTTTTAACTCTGTTTTCATCCCTACGTAGGCGGTTTCCTTTTGTAATAAGCTGCTTTATATTTTTCTCTCTCGAACTCAAGATTTATGTGCTTAAATACATTAACTAATTTGAATCCTAGTAGTAGCTGACGAAAGTAGAAAGGCAAATACAGAAGAAATAATAAGACAATTGGTTGATAAACATAAAAACCTATAATTTTAAGAAAGGTTTATTATTATGGAGAAAACAACAGTCCAGAAAAGATTTTAAGATGTTATTCTTTTATTATGATGTTTCAAACCAACATTTCTGATTTAGGAAATTTTTTATTTGTTATAAATTAATTGGTCGTATTGTCGTTTTTTAGAATATCAGTTTTTAATACTGACACATTCAAAAATTTGCAAAGTGATTCCATTTCAGATATAAAAAAATTATTATTTAGTCACCTTTGAAGCAAGTTCAAATTACAATATGGTCAAGATTATTTAAATAAAAGAGAACAGTGGTGTTAGATGGTGAAAAATAATCTAACAAAAATGATCGTTATGGCATATAGGAGATATGTTTCTGATCAAAGAAATTATATGTTTCTGATCAACTGTTTCTGAACAAAGAAATTATATGTTTCTGATCAACTGTTTCTGAGCAAAGAAACGACATATTTTTGATCAAAGAAACAGGCTTCTTTATCCAGTTTTTCTTCGTAGTTTAGTATTCTTCGTTTCCAGAATCACATTCTTCCCTTTAGAAGAACGCAAATTACTTGATGAGCATAGAAAAAGGGAAGCAAAGGAATTAAGAAATTATTGAAATTAGTATAACTTCCCTCAAACGTTTGCGTGTCCTCTGTTCACCTAACCGATTAGGGTTTCATTAAATCCGGTAGATGAAGGTTTTGGTAAGATTCAATTAAATCAGAATAATCTTCAAAGACAAGGAGTTGGAAATTTGTTAATTTGATATTTCATGACCTGTGGTTATTACTGTGTCTCTCAGTCTACATCATGTAAAATTTTGGGGATGCAATTAGGGGCTATAAATTACCGACAGATATTTTAATAAATGTTACTTATATGTTTTGCTATTTGTTTAAATTAAGATTTAAGTATTCTGATGGCAAAAACGTATCTCATATTATTATAAGACTAGTTGGCCATCATAGTAAGAGATATGATACTAAGGAACAGCTCTAGTAATATGATTTGAATCAGAATGTTCCTTTAGATACTCACTTTTACGTTCATTGAAGGAACTTCCAATATGTTTGAGGCTTATTCTACGTTCCAAACCGAAAGGAATAAAATAATTTTGTAACATTTCGGTATCATAAATTTTTATAATGTAAAGCATTGTTTGATCGATTCATAGTATAACAGCAGAGGTAAGCTGAGTCATGGATGCTCGAAGAGATTAGATTTTTTAAGGTAAAGACATAGGAGATTTTTGGATATTCGTGCATGTTAAAATAAAAGCAAGTATTTAATATTTTAAGAAATGGGTTAGGCTTTGTAAAACGAAGGATATTTAACATAACTTTGGGATGAAAAATTGTACTTTAGCTAAATCAAAGTGCAAAAATTATATTTGTATGATAATAATGGAAATATAATTGAAATTTCCTTCTCCCCAACGATCGTACAATAGCTCGAAATACTCAAAGCTCAATAGCTCAAAGGCCTAATCTATTCTTTAAAATATTAAACATGCGCCTGGTTTTTAGCCCATGCAGATTATTCACTTATGTCTAAAGGAAATGGGGATTTAAGCTTTCAAAAGTCAACATAATTTTAAATTAAAAATAAAACAGAAACGAAATTAATTTTCCTTATTTGTTTCAAAGTGAAAACTAACATTTTTATTTGGAAACGGAAAAAGTAAAAAAGAAAAGCTCTGTTTTGTTTTCGAACAGAAATGAACACAATAATCATTCACTTTTATTCTTGATATAATATAATTTGTTTTGTATCATTGGAAAAGGCTTCTACAAACCTTTAGAAGCTAGAAACTAATTCTTAGATATCTTAAAATAAAATATAAAAAAATATTGCAAATGCAGAAATCATTTCATTGCTAAAACGTCCCCATTTGCAAATCCGAATTTGAACCAAAATTATTACAAATTCTATCAATTTAGAAAATGTTTCAGAAAGTCCTAAACTGCTTAAGGTTTTTCGTTCAAAAGCAGCCTAAAATGATATCAAGAGTCCGAGAATTAGGAGAAATGCTTCTGTAAATGTTTAATTTCTCAAAAGTTCTCCACAGATATCCTAAAATTAAATCAAAAGTTTTAGGAAATATAATTGCTTAAAATAAAAACAAATTAGAATAATACTTTTTTAGTTAAAAAAAGCATTAGTAAATAAGTATTTCAAAGGTGCAGATTTTATGTGTACATTTGATTAAATACTTGTTTCTTCAGAAAAATCAGAAGTTGTCTATCCGAGTCTGTGTGTTTCTTAATTATGTAAAACATATTTCAGTTCACAATTTATTCTAAGCATAATACAACAAGGGAAGACATTTAGTAAAAGCTCATATTACAGTAAATACATTCATAAATAAAACCCACAGACAGTTATATTTACAGCATTTCACGAATATCACTTCGAAACATTTATCACATAATACAGATATAAACATTGTAGCTATATATTTACAGCACCAAAGTGTCTTAATTTCATATTGAGTAAAAGCTCTGGAATTATACAATGTTTATGCTGCCTTTTCATTTTAAAGCATATTCAGATACATACACCAGTTAGTCATGTTCATTTTCCAGGAATAACATATAAGCATCTTCAATCATGTAACATATAATCATCATCAACATATTTTTATTACACTATTTTCAAAAATACTTCTATATTGAGTCATCTTTATGATACAAAATTATACGAAAAGTTTGGAGATGTGCAGGTTACTGTTTTGTCAGAAATACACTTTTTTGTTTTTTTTCCTGAATGCTAATCTCGAATATTTTGCATATGTCCACTTTCGAATTGTAATGAACTTTGCAGTTCTCGAAATCACAAATGAACGTAATGTATTCTAAGGAAACTCGAAATTTTTCATAACGATATGTAATCTGAGAAACGCGAATTCTTAAAAATTGTATTTTGAATATTTTAAAAAGAGAATTCATAAAAAAAACTCTAAAATTTTCATGGGAATATGTAATCCGAGAAATATTAATTCTGAAAATCCAAAAGGTTTGAATATGTCAGTAAACGAATTACTAACGTTAACATATTGAAACTTTTAAGCCTTACATGTGCACCTTAAGAGAGTGAAGAAAAGTCTTTTGAAATAAATGTCTGAAAGTTTTGATAGTTTATTGAGGTTAAGGGAATTATCATTATAACAACAGCAAAGAAACCATTGTGACAAGAAATTCTGAATTCAAGATTTTGCATGACATATTTGATTTCACCATAATGCA